ATCTTCCTCCCCAAACTGTTCTTCCCATCTGCTGTCAAATAACCCCAGGTTTCATGAGTCCAAAAAAATGCCTATTATTAAAGGAGAACTTTTTTCAAGACAGTTAGGTTGTTGATACATTCTTCTTCCTCCTATGGATGGTCCCCATGTACCTCAACTTATTTTAATTTTCTCCACAGTATTTTTCATCATCTGACAAATTATACTTTTATTGTCTATCTCCCCCCACCAGGTTGTAAGTCATGAGGCAAGGATTCTGTTTTGTTCATTACTGGTTTACTAGCGCACAGTACATTTGCCTGGCAGATGTAAGATGATTAATATGAATTTGCTGACAGAATTCATTTCAAAAATGGTTTGATCACCAATAAAAATTTTTACACTTATGAAGGTCAGAAAACAACAGCAAATACCACCTTAAGAGTGAAGAGCCAGAGCACATCCACTAAAGTTGATGGTTGATAATTTACCACGCACTGAGGTTCTACTTTCTGTGAAAGACTGGAGGAGGAGCATAAATATAGGAAAGAAACATAAACATCTTTGCTTGCAGATGAAATAGCTATCTGCCTAAAAAATATCCAAGACGCAGGAGAATAAACAAAAAACATTTAAAACTGACAAAATAGGGCTTCCCTGGTGGCACAGTGGTTGAGAGTCCACCTGCCGATGCAGGGGACACAGGTTCGTGCCCCAGTCCGGGAAGATCCCACATGCCACGGAGCAGCTGGGCCCGTGAGCCTTGGCCGCTGAGCCTGCACGTCCAGAGCCTGTGATCCGCTCCTTTCTTCAAGCTATTTAGGAAAAAGGCAAAAATCTATCTTGAGGAAAATCTGATGATCCTCAACCATTCTAAGGCCAACAGTGATATGTAGAAAAAAAAAAAAAAAAAAAAAAAAAAAACTGACAAAATAATTCATTAAGTTGGCTAGATATAGGATAAGTGAACAAAAATGATTAGCTTTCCTAAATACCACCATAAACAATTAGAAGACAAAAAAAGAGAAAATAAGATGCCATTCATATGAAAATAGCTAAGAACCGACCTAACAAAAACCTGCAAAACCAAGACAAGAAAACTAAATGTTTATTAAAATAAATAAAAGAGGAACTGAATAAATTGAAACATACAGTGTTTCTGAATGGGAAAAATCAAACTTGTAAAGAAGTCGATTACCCCAATTTTGCCTATGAATTCAAAACAATCCACTTCCCCACCAAAAAATCAATGAGATTTATACAGGGGTAGGGGATCATTTAGAGTAATCTGAAAAAAGTAAGTGTGAAAGACTAGCTGAGAAGGTGTTGAAGGAAATACATTTTTGAAAGAAATGATGAGGGGGAATTAAACCCTACCTTAAAAGGACAATACTTCAAGAAAACAAGACTACAAGCCATAGATAGTGAGAAAATATTTTAAAAGACATAATAAAGGACTATTATCCCAAGTATATAGAGAACTCTTAAAACTCAATAAGAAAATGAACAACCCGATTCAAAAAATGGGCAAAAGACCTGAACAGATACCTCACCAAAGAAGTTATACAGATGGCAAACAGGTATATGAAAAGATGCTATACAACAGCGGTCCCTAGCCTTTTTGGCACCAGGGACCAGTTTCATGGAAGACAATTTTTCCACGGACTGGACGGGGGTGTTGGGGGGTGGTTCAGGCGGTAATGCAAGCGATGGAGAGCGGCCGATGAAGCTTCGCTTGATCGCCGCTTACCTTCTGCTGGGCAGCCTGGTTCCTAACAGGACCAGTCCAGTACCGGTCCTTGGCCTCGGGGTTGGGGACCCCTGCTCTAAAACATATGTCTTCAGGCAAATGCAAATTAAATCAGTGAGATACCACTACACATCCATTAGAATGGCCAAAATCCAAAACACTGACAATACCAAATGCTGGCAAGGATGTGGAGCAACACAAACGCTCATTCATTGCTGGCAGGAATACAAACTGGTGTGGCCACTCTGGAAGACGTTTAACAGCTTCTTACAAAACTAAACATACTCTTACCATATGATCCAGCAATCAAGCTCCTTGGTATCTTCCCAATGAGTTGAAAACTTACGTCCACACAAAAACCTGCACAAGGATGTTTATAGCAGCTTTATTCATAATTGCCAAAACTTGGAAGCAACCAAGATGTCCTTCAGTAGGTGAATGGAGAAATAAACTGGTACAATCAGTCAATGGAATATTACTCAGCACTAAAACGAAATAAGCTATCAAGCCATGAAAAGTCACACAAGACCTTAAATGAATACTGCTAAGTGAACAAAACCAAAATGAAAAGGTATGATACCAACTACACAACATTCTGGAAAAGGCAAAAAGATCAATAGTTGCCAGGAAGGGAGGGCAGAACACAGAGGATTTTTAGAGCCTGTGAAGAGGCTCTGTATGATACTACAATAATAGATACATATCATTACACATTTGTAACCCACAGAATGTACAACACCAAGAGTGAACCCTGGGCTTCCCTGGTAGCACAGTGGTTAAGAATCCACCTGCCAATGTAGGGGACATGGGTTCGAGCCCTGGCCAGGAAGATCTCGCATGCCGTGGAGCAACTAAGCCCGTGCACCACAACTACTGAGCCTGCGCTCTAGAGCCCACGAGCCACAACTACTGAAGGCCGCATGCCACAACTACTGAAGCTTGTGCTCCTACAGCCTGTGCTCCAAAACAAGAGAAGCCTCTGCAATGAGAAGGCCTCGCACTTCAACAAAGAGTAGCCCCCACTCACTGCAACTAGAGAAAGCCCACATGCAGCAATGAAGACCCAACGCAGCCAAAGAATAAATTAAATAAATAAACTAAATCTACTAAAAAAAAAAGAGTGAACTCTAATGCAAGCTACGGACTTTATGTGACTGTGATGTGTCAATGTAGATCATCAATTGTAACTAATGTACCACTCTGATAATGATGGAGGCTCAGCATGTATGGAGCCAGGAAGCATATGGGGACTCTGTGCTTTTTGCTCAATTTTGCTATGAACCTAAAACTTCTCTACAAAAATAAAGTCTACTAAAAAAGAAAGGGAAAGGGGCAGGGACAGCAATACTTAATCTCCTACCTGGACTGCAATATCATCCTGACTCACACTCTTCTGCAATCAATGCACCACTACGGGCTGAAAACCCTTTTAATATATAAATCCAACCCTTTCAACTCCCCTGCTTAAAATCCTTTAGTGTCTTCCTACTGAACCCAGAATAGAAACCAAAGTCTTCACAGTGACCTCCAAGCCATGTGCCTAGTTGTCCCACCTCACAACGAACTACTTCCTCTGGCCTCTCCCTGTCTCCAGAGTACACCCGCCTTTCTCTCCCAGCCCAGGGCCGATGCATTTGCTGTCCTCTCTGGAAGGCTCTTCTTTACTTCTTTCTCCAGTAGTTTCCAAGACTATTTCTACCTCATCCTTGAGGTCTCAACGTCATGTGACCACCTCCACGAGGGCTTTCCTGACCACTACCTTCAAAGGTTGCTTCTTTGGGGCTTCTCAAATTTGAGAAGGTGCGTAAGAATCACCTGGAGAACTTGTTACAACAGATTCCTGACCCCACTTACCCTCCTCACCAATCTGACTCCGAGTCTAGGGTGGGACTAACAATTTGCAGTTCTAATGAGCACCCAGGTGATCCTGATGCTGCCCACCTATGGACCACACTTTTAAGAAGCACTGTACTTTAGCAACAGGTAATTATGGTAACATTTGTTTTTGGTAAAAGTACCCTCCATGAGAAAAGGGAACCTGTCTGCATTATTCAGTACTATGCACCTAGCATTTAGAAAGCACATATGGAAAAAACAACGTTGGCCTCTCTGGGATACATCTACTACTTGTGGAGCAATCTCTTCAATAAAGAATTTCTCTGGGGCTTCCCTGGTGGCACAGTGGTTAAGAATCTGCCTGCCGGGGCTCCCCTGGTGGCGCAGTGGTTGAGAATCTGCCTGCTAATGCAGGGAACACGGGTTCGAGCCCTGGTCTGGGAAGATCCCACATGCCACGGAGCAACTGGGCCCGTGAGCCACAACTACTGAGCCTGCGCATCTGGAGCCTGTGCTCCGCAACAAGAGAGGCCACGAGAGTGAGAGGCCCGCGCACCGCGATGAAGAGTGGCCCCCGCTTGCCACAACTAGAGAAAGCCCTCGCACAGAAACGAAGACCCAACACAGCCATAAATAAATAAATAAAGCAAACTGTCAACAAGTAAAAATAAACACAATTATTTAAAAAACCCTGATTTTTTTAATAAAAAAAAGAATCTGCCTGCCAATGCAGGGGACACGGGTTCGAGCCCTGGTCCGGTAAGATCCCACATGCCGCGGAGCAGCTGGGCCCGTGCGCCACAACTACTGAGCCTGCGCTCTAGAGCCTGTGAGCCACAACTACTGAGCCCACGTGCCACAACTACTGAAGCCCGCACACCTAGAGCCCACGCTTCGCAACAAGAGAAGCCACCGCAATGAGAAGCCCATGCACGGCAACGAAGAGCAGCCCCCGCTCAATGCGACTAAAGAAAGCCCGCACACAGCAACGAAGACCCAACTCAGCCAAAAATAAATAATTTATTTATTAATTTTTTAAAAAAAGAATTTCTCTGATCTCGGCAGGCAACCTTTTTTTTTTTTTAAATCCCACATTCCTAATTTATCCCCCACCCCCAACTCATTTCCCCTTTGGTAAGGCTGTTTCCTATATCTGTCCTGGCAACTTTTATTTGTAGAACATGATCTGGATTTCCACATTCAGGGGGAACTTCTTGGCTTGGGTCCCCCTTTTTCCACTTAAACCTATTCATCCAAACTCATCACTCTGTACACACAAGACTCTTATTTCCTCCACCACGTATTTACAACCATAGCCCTGGGGATGGACTCAAGAGGGAAACCATAGCCTGGCCAAGTTAGGCCTTCTTGATCCTTTCCTGATTACCTGATAGCTAATGTGATTTTTAAAAGACTGAAAAGAAGCTCAGCTCACCTGAGGCCAAGTGATTTGGAGCATGGCTGATGTTCCCTGGCTCCGTGCACTGTCTTCTGGGTTTGGAAGAGCAAGAACCTTAAAAGCTAAAAGAAGAGCCATGAGTGCAATAGTCCCTGTGCTACGTCACCCACAGCAGCCTACAGTCTTCCGTCTTTTCCTTTCGAGCACTGGCAAGAGACTCTATCAGCCCCGCTCTGGCTGATCACCCCAAACCCTCATGAATTGCACTGCCTGGTCCTCGGGACAATCCACCACCTGCCTGCTCTGCCCAAGAGCGTTCCGGGGCCCATTCACATTGAGCGGACCTAGGGATCCAAGACGAATCCTGTCCCTACAGTGCTGGGTCTGAACAAACAAAAACCTAAAAAAGCGCTTAGAGGGAACATGACATTGACCCCAAAAAGGGTGCCTTTGGAGAAGGGAGACGGGGGTAACTGGATCTGGATTGAGCTAAAATACTCAAGTGTTCCAGTGGGTGATGATGACAGGAGACCCCAACGGGCTCTCCACCCAAGGAAGCAGGAGACCGCAAATATCAGAAACTTCGGTACCGGGCACGGGAGGCAGTTGGGCCAACTTCTTTAGGACAAAAAAGAGGATCACGCCTCGGTGGGCAAGGGACTGGACCAAGGCTCTAGGAGGCCCCGCAGCCACCTCGGCGGTTTCTGCGAGGCCCAGACACCCGAGCACCGGGTCAGAGAGGCGAGTTCAGGGGCGGGGTGCTGACGAATCGCTAAGGAAAGCGAGGACGCTGGCACGAAGAACTCGCCTGAACCGAGCCTGTTCCCCTCAGAACCCCAAGAGATGAGCCTCCGAAAGCCGATACGGAACCGAGCACGGACGTCCAGCACCCCTCTAGGCCGCCCGGAAGCGGCCCATCTCGGTGGTCCCCGCGGCGCGGCCTCACGTGACCCTAGGGGCGGGGATAAGGGCGGGCTCTTGCCCGTGACGTCATTTGAGGGCGCCGCACCGCAGTGCTAGCGGCCGGTGCCTCCGCCCCTGTGCTTCAACCGCTGAGCCGACTGAGGGTGGGCTGTGAGGGCGCTGATGCCACCTTGCTCTACTCAGATCTCGGCCTCTAGACCTAGGTGGGGCCCCAGTTAACCGACTGCCCCATCAGCTGTCGGCCGCCCTTATTCCCTGGGTCACCTGGAGCCTGGGCTCTGCAGGTGTGGGGAGAATGGCTTCTGTTGTGTCATCTCCTAGAGGCCCACGCCAGGCATCCTGCTTGGGTTCTAGGCTGGGCAGCCCTTAGGAGAACCATGGTTCCCATCTACCTGTTTATTTTGTTTTGTTTTGTTTTTTGCGGTACACGGGCCTCTCACTGTTGTGGCCTCTCCCGTTGCGGAGCACAGGCTCCGACTTGCAGGCTCAGCGGCCATGGCTCACGGGCTTAGCCGCTGCGCGGCATGTGGGATCTTCCCGGACCGGGGCACGAACCTGTGTCCCCTGCATCGGCAGGCGGACTCTCAACCACTGTGCCACCAGGGAAACCCCCATCTACCCTTTTAAAGCCCTCTCCCTTCCTAGGACCTAGGCGTGTGTGGGACCTTTTAGGGCAGATTCATTTAACAACCAAAATAACAGTGACTAAGGTTGCCAGGCATCCTGTATATACAAGTCCTATATTAAATGATTTTGTCCTGTATTGACTTTGGCAGGACGCCCTAAATGTCCTGTGTTTAGCTTTTTTCAATAGAGTACAAAAATTCTGTAGTTGACAGCTATTCCGCCTAGTTAACTGGCAAGTAACTTAAATTTCAACACTGGCTGAAAAAAACAATCATACCTCCACAAATGAAGGTGTGGATAATCCCTTACAGTCTCTCTGGCAGGTTTGTCTGAGGAAAGGAAAGGGCGGGCGGGGGGAGCGGCGGCTTATAATTGAAACATTAAAAGGACTGTTTTTCAGATTCAAGAAACGAAAAGACTATTCTTTGACCAAAGTTCCAAGCCACGAACGAGTAATTGCCCTTAAGAACAAGTAAATGCCGTTAATTTACATAACTTCGGGTCAACACACATGCTCTGAAAATCAGCCAATGACAGTGACAGTCTCACTTTGGTGACCCCTGCAACTATGCTTCTGAGAGTTATCAAATCAATGGCAGCCCCAATCTTCAGAACATGAGCCAATCAGTGACAAATGCCCTTGAAAGCTAGCCAATCAATGACAGTCCTACCCACTGGACAACAGCTAATTAGCAAATGCCTCACTACAGTGACGATGCTTCTGAAAATCAATGAGTCAACAGTAGCCTTACTTTAGTGACCACTTCTTGCCAGTATGGTTGCCAACATGAACAGACTTTTTCTTTGACAACTGATAGGTCTACTGAACACAGTTCCATATATATGGTTCCTACTCACCAAGCACTTCAGAGCTAAAAGGGGAAATTGGCGTCCCACTGATAGGAGATAGAATGACCCTAGATATCTGTATATATGACTCTATCCCAGGAGTTACTTACTATACAGTAAAAATTACAAGATATTGCTGAAATTAATAAAAATCTAAATGAAGAGATTTACCATGTTTACAAAAGAGTCTATATAATTAAGATGTCAATTATACCAAAATTGATCTATAGATTCAATACAATCTCAATCAAAATCCCAGGATATATTTTGTAGAAATTGACAAACTGATTCTGACATTCATATGGAAATGCAAAGGACCTGGAAATGCCAAAACAACAGAAAACAAAGTAGGAGGACTAACAATATATGACTTCGATACTTAGAAAAACTATAGTAATTAATGCAGTGTGTTAATGGCAACAAGATGGACAAACAGATCAACAAACAGGAACAAAACAGAATCTAGAACTAGACCCTCACATATATGGACAATGGTGCTACAACAAGTTACCCATTTGGGAAGGAAGGGAGCATGAGAGACAGGGAGGAAGGAACTTGGATCCATACCTCATGCCCTATACAAAGTTTAACTGAACATAGATGACAGAACTAAATGTAAAATCTAAAACTATAAAACTCCTAGAAGGAAGAATAGGAAAAAGCCTTTGTAAAATTGGGCAAGGCAAAGATTTCTTTAAAATGCCACTAAAAGCACAATCCATAAAGGAACAAACTGATAAATTAGACCCCATCAACATCAAAAGCTTCTGCTCTTCAAAAGATATTGTTAAGAGAATGAAAAGACAGACCACAGGCTGGGAGAAAATGTTTGGAAATCACATATATGAAAAAGGACCTGTATCTATAATATATAAAAGCTTCTCAAAGATCAATAAAAAGAAGAGCCAGTAAAAACATAGGCAAAAGACAAGTAAGCACATGAAAACATGCTCAACATCAATAGTCATTAGGGAAAGCAAATTAAAACCTTAATGAGATAGCATTACACACTTATTATAATAGCTAAAATTTAAAATGTTAACAATATCAAGTGTAGGCAAAGATGTATTAGAAATGGAACTCTCACACAATGCTGGTAGGAAGGTAAAGTGGCACAACTTCTTGGTAGAACAATCTGAAGATACTCAAAAAGTTAAATATACACATACCTTATAACTCAGCCGTTCCACTTCTGGTGTTTACCTAAGAGAAATAAAAGTGTACATCCTTACAAAGACTTGAACACAAATGTTCACAGCAGCTTTATTTGTAATAGCCAAAAACTGGAAATAACCCAAACGCCCAAGAGGTGAATGGACAAATAGATGGTGGTATATCAATAGTAGAATACTACTCAGCAATAGAAAGGAATGAACCACTGATATTATGCAACATGGATGAATCTCAAAATAATTATACTGAGTGGAGTTCCCTTAAGGTTTAGTGGTTAGGATTTGGCAAAAAAAAAAATTATGCTGAGAAAGACACCAGACCAAAAAGAATACATACAAGGTGTTAACATTTGTATAAAATCCTAGAAAAGGAAAGCTAATCCAAAGTGACAGAAGGAATTCCCTGGATGTCTGGTGGTTAGGACTCCACGCTTTCACTGCCAAGGGCCCAAGTTCAATCCCTGGTCATGGAACTAAGATCCCACAAGCCGCAAGGCACAGCCAAAACAAAAACAAAAACAAAACAAAAACAAAAAAAACCTACAGTGACAGAAAGCAGATCAGTGGTTGCTTGGGGAGAGCCAAGAGGGAGGGATTACAAGCGAAGTTTTGGGTGTTATGGCTATGTTTATTATCTTGATTGTGGTTATTGTTTCACTGGTATATACATGATAAAAACTTATCAACGACATTATGATAATAATACTTTTGTTTATTATGCTCCAGTCACAGTTCTAACTACTTCTATGTGTATTAATGCAGTTAATCCTCAGCACAATCCTGTGAGGTAGACGATCATCCCGATTTTACAGATAAGAAAATTAGTGCAGTTTCCGTAACTTAACCAAGGTCACACGCCTGGGTTCATACCAAAGTTGGCCTGGCTCCGAATGATTAACCACTACCCTCTGCTTCCTGCAGTAGGCAAAGTCAAGCTGTCTGCACGAGTGGATGCTACAACAGAACATATTTACTTCTCTTGTAACCGTAGGTAACAGAAAATAATGGCTCCTTCCAGATCATAAAAAATAACCAGATGAAATTGCAAGGGAACGTTTGCTGATGGGAGGTCACTTGGAACAGTAATGAGATAGACAAATTTAAGACAAATAGGGCCTTGCATCTCATTCAAAGGGTACAAACACCCCATTTTTTCAAAGGCATAGACTGCAACTGGGTTGCAGAGTAAGAAGTAGTGAGGGTGGGCACTGTACCCAAGGTAGGTCTCTGGAAGTCTGCACCCTATTAGGACTGTCCTTCCAAGATGCAGACGGCTCCACACAGATAGGGCCCCTCTGTTTTTGTGTTTAAGAGACTTCCAATATACAGATTTTAATAGAGGGTCCACATAGCTTGCCTTTTCTTAACACTTGTTTAGGGTTGCACATCTGAGAAAGGATGCAGGGGAGATAAAATTTTAAGAGGTACAAGGTCTGAAATATCTTTATTCTATACTCACGCTTGAGGGTATAAAATTCTGGCGGAAATCATTTCCCTTAGAATGTCAAAGGCATACACCATTGTCATCTAACTGTCAAGGTTGCTGTTGAGAAATCCAATGCTATTCTTACTCCTGATCTTTTGTTTTCCCTCTCTAGAAACATTTTACCATCTCCTTTTTAAACCTGGTGCTTCGATCATTCACAGTGATGGTCTTTGATATAGGTTTCTCCCCAATCCATCTTGCTGGGCACTTGGTGTATCCTTTCAATCTGGAAACCTTCCTTTGATGTTTTTAAGTTTGGGGGTTTGTTTCTTGTCTTTTCTAACTGTAAAGAGAGTTCATCTTGGGGAAATAAGGGTTAAGAGAACCTGAGGAAAGTTTCATGATGGAAGCTGAGAGTCTAAATTAAACATCTTAGTGGGACAGGGCAGAGGAGCATGCGTTGCAGTTATGCAGAGAGAAGCAGCAGATGTTTAAGAATTAGCACAGTTAGGGACTTCCCTGGTGGTCCAGTGGCTAAGAATCCACCTTCCAACGCAGGAGATGTGGGTTCAATCCCTGGTCAGGGAACAAAGATCCCACATGCCACAGGGCAACTAAGCCTGCGAGCTACAACTAATGAGTCCGCACACTCTGGAGCCCACGCCACAACTAGAGAGAAGCTGGTGTGACACAACGAAAGATCCTGCATGCTGCAATTAAGACCCCATGCAGCCATAAATAAATAAATAAATAAATAAATAGAATTAGCACAGTTCAGAAAAGGCAGTGATGACACTGATCAAAAGCATGAAGATGGGGAGAAACAAGAAGAGGCACTGTAAGCTTAGCTGTGGAGAGTGCTACTCTTGGATCGATGTCTTCTGCACGTGGAGTTTCTGATGCAGGATGAACCTTCCACACCAGCTAAAGGTTTTCCCACACACCTTACACTCGTAAGGTTTCTCACCAGTGTGGACACGCTCATGCTAAACCAGGGTGATTTTCTGATTGAAGGCCTTCCCACGCTCCTTACATTCAAAAGGTTTCTCCCCAGTGTGGATCCGCTGATGCTGAGTTAGGGCTGTGTTGGAGCTTAATCATTTCCCACACTCCTTACATTCACAGGGTTTCTCCCCAGTGTGCATTCGCTGATGGAGGATGAAACTTGAGCTAACAGCTGGAAGTTTTCCAACATTCGTCGCACTCATGGAGCTTAGCTCCAGTGTGGAACCTCTGGTGCTGGAGGAAGACGGGGCTGCAGCTGAAGGCCTTGCCACACTCCCGACACTCATAGGGCTTTTCTCCAGTGTGGATTCTCTGATGCTGAATCAAGGCCATATCTGAACTGAGACCTTTCCCACATTCTTTACATTTAAATGGTTTCTTCCCTGTGTGGATTACCTGATGCTGGATAAGTAAGGAATTATATCTGAAGTATTTTCCGCATTCTTTGCATTCAAAAGACTTTTCACCAGTGTGACATCTCTGATGTCTGTGGAAGTCTGCCATCCGAATGAAGCATCTGTCACATTTTCCACACTTGTAAGATAGCTGACCGCTAGAAATTGTCTGATTTGTAGTGAGTTGTGTGCTAACACTAATGTATTTTCCCAGTTTCTCACTTCTCCCCACTCTCCACAGCACATGCCTCCTGATGCCTGGTTGACCCATCTGTGAAATCTCTCCTTTTTGACTTTGTCATCTTAACCATCCCGTGGCCGTGTTGTTCTAGGTGACTCCTGAAGCCAAGGTGCTGGGGAACATTCCCTGGCAGCCCTCCTAATGTCAGTCCATGGAACTCTGCTTCTTTGGAAATGTGTTCTTTTGGCGTTGATTCTTCCTTGTCAGTTCTGGTCTCCCAGCCTGATATCATAAAAAGAAAATACAAGTGTCAGCCCCCAATATCACAAAAAGAAAATATTTATGCTAAAGAGGGAATAGGATCAAGTGGTTCTGATTTGCCCTGAGTAAGGGGCTATTTTCCAATATGTACACCAAATGATCAAAGACCACCACACAGCAGAGCCCCACAAGTGGAACTCTGTGAAAGAGGCCAGGGAGGCCAGCGAGGCCAGCAGCGTTCCCGTAAAGAGCGTGAAGACTGGAAAACAGCAGTCTGTTAACTAGGGCAGAAGGACCAATTGCTGTCTCCCAAGTGGATCGGATGGATCAGTGCAGATGTAAAGAAGTGATGAATGGAGAGCCCGAGGTGAGAGAAAGACTGCTGAGAGTGGAGAAGCGGCAGTCGAGCAGCTCAAGTCCTGCAAAACGTCCCACGGGCTGAAATTCCGTAAGAACTGCTTATTTTTTTAAATGTTATCCATGTCATAATCTTTGAGAGAGACCCAACCTCTGTCATCAAGTTGGCTCTAGTAAAGCAGCAGGCTCCTATGCAGTGGCTGAGGGGACCACGCAGGGCAAACACCACAGCATCCAGAAGGAAGGGGAAGACGTGCAGGCTTGCCTCTAAAAGAAAAGAGCACTGGACATGTGAAGAACCCTTCCAAGAATGGACATCAGTCCTAGAGACAACCACATAACGATCGTTGTCCTTTTTCCTAAAACTCTATACAGGATGTATATATAGTCTAACACAACAATATGAAATGTGAAATCCTAAACTAACTAAAAAAGAAAAACTAATATAATCATCAGCACTGGGCCAGAGAAAAACCTCATGTGTTTACAAGCAAACTGTTTAGAAAATATTTTTTAACCCAGACAACCTGCAGTCTTGGGGTCATATCCAGAAAAGCACACAAGGCTGGAGTGGAGAGGCGGTGGGGAGCGATGTGCATTATTTTTTTAAATATTTATTTATTTATTTGGCAGCACCGGGTCTTAGTTGTGGCACGCGGGATCTTGGTTGCAGTGTGCGAGTTCTTTTAGTTGCAGCATGTGGGATGTTTAGTTGTGGCATGCAAACTCTTAGTTGCAGCATGTGGGATCTAGTTCCCTGAGCAGGGATCAAACCCAGGCCCCCTGCATTGGGAGCACGGAGTCTTAGCCACTGGACCACCAGGGAAGTCCTGCGATGTGCATTATTAATGGACATTCTCTGTAAAGAGTCTGAAGAGCACAGGAAATTTTAACAGGCAGAGAATGGGTGAAGCAGAATAACACATGCAAAAAAAAAATATATATATATATATATATATATATATATACTATGTTGTTATTTCTAATTCTCATATCAATACCTCTCAAAATGAGGAAGCCATTCACCTTTAATTTACAAGTTTTGCTTCAAAAGTTCATCTGTTAAAAAATACATATATATATTTTTTTTTTTTTTTAATATTTATTTATTTAGGCAGCACTGGGTCTTAGTTGAGGCACGGGGGATCTTTATTGCGTCATGCAGACTTCTTAGTTGCAGCATGCGGACTCTTAATTGTGGCATGCATGCGGGATCTAGTTCCCCGACCAGGGGTCTAACAGAGGCCCCCTGCATTGGGAGTGTGGAGTCTTACCCACTGGATCACCAGGGAGGTATCCATATATTTTTAAGTGTCCATGGAGGGAAGATGAAACAAGAATGGCAGGATATAGGTGGACTGTTGAGGTGAGGGGTACACTGGGTGCATCTGGCTGGTGTCTGCATATGTGTGAAAATTTCCATTATAAAAATAAATTTTTAATATTTGTTAAGTTAGTGTTTGGGAACACATACTTCAATTTCCCATACAAATAATGTACCCTGTGCATACGTAGATTGCCAGACAGGCCCCCAGAAGTCTATTTTCCTCATAAGGTGGCTGACATCCTCATCTTTGCAAAAACAAACTGATGGAGAAATAAAATGTTTCCACATGACAGGGATGATAAGAGCTGCTCAGACAGTGTCCCTTGGCAGGTGGTGAGGTGGAGAGGCAAATGTGAACACGCGAAGAAATCTTGCAGCCACACCCTTCTTGGAAGAGAATGGCCCTTCCTCACTTGAGGGAGGCAACCACTATAAATGCAGAACATCACATGTAACGATTCCAGAGGAATGAAAACAGTCTCACAAGAGAAGAAACACTCTGTGCATACTGAAATGTGAAAACAAGAAAGCAGGCTAAGCAAAAAAGGTAGGGTCTCATACTCACCTGGACAGACTCCTCTGAGGGCCTCCCTGCCCATGTGTTCCCAGGGATGGAGGCCCCATGTCAGTTCCCCTCACTCCAGCTGAGAGACCAGAACAGGTCTGGTGAACGAAAAAGCTTCCCAGGGAGAAAGAAACAGGAAAACAAAGGTAGAGGGAATCATGAAGCAGGGTCACCTCTCAGCCCTCTTTTTCACCAGTGAGCCAGGTGGGGAGAAACAAAGTGAAGTCAGCCTGTGCATCTTAGAGGACAGAAAATTCCCACAGAGCAGGGCAGAGTCTTGGAATAATCTTCTACTCAAGTTCCAAATATTCAGAGAACTTGAAGACAGAGGCAAAGGCTCTGGTGAGCTCCTGACAGCTCTTCATTTCCCCCCATGCATGGGGCAGAGTCCCTCCCAGGGTTAGAGGATAGTGATTTCAAAACCTGGGAACCCAGAGCTCTCCCAACCCAGTAGCCTCAGGGGAGCTCAGCCTCCAGAGCAACTGCCCACAAGGGTTATTAGAGACCCCACAAAGTCAAAGGAAGAAAGAAGGCAGGATGCTCAAAGGGCAGAGGCAGAGAAGAGCAGGGAAAAAAGATCTCTCACCCAGGGAAGCCACATTTGCATAATTCTCCAGCATCACCTCCCTGTACAAGGCCCTCTGCGCAGGATCCAGGACGACCCATTCATTCTGGGTGAAGTACACAGCCACATCCTCAAAGGTCACTGGCTCCTGAAACAAGAGGTTCTTGCTCCAGCCCTGTGTGAGGGCAGAGGAGCCTAAGTAAAGGGCAGAGACTCACTGGGGCTGGTGTTATTGCCGAGGACAGCTGTCCAGTGCTCAAGCTCCCTACACCCCTCTCCGCAGGGGCCAGCCCTCAGCCAGCATTGCCCTCATCAGTAGGGGAGCCCCAGACTCACTGTATCCCTTGTGATCATCCCCAGCAAACAGCCCTTCCTTCACCTGCTGATCTCTGTGCCGACTCTGCTGTGTCCTGCTCCGTGTGCCTATGGGTCCCTCTGGCTCCTCTCCCCTACGTGGGTTTTGTGTGAACATGCACAAGGGAAATCTGTATAAACACAGCCCACAGAACTTTTGTACTGATCTCTACTCCCTTCCTAATCCCGCTAAGGTCACTGGAACACAAAGGCCCAACAGGAGAAGAGTCAAATCAGACTAGAGGTATTAACAGAATTTTGAAAGGCGGAAAAAGGATAAATGGTAACTGACACAGAAGAGAAGGGAAAGCTGAATCTTAACTGCTGGTGCAGGAGGAAGCAAACAAAAAGGAGCCTGATTCACACGACAGAACAAAGGATGAGCTCTGGATATTTTTAAAGTGTGAACTGCTTTTTGTAACTTGGTAAAATATTCTTTTTTTTTTTGAGTTTTTATTTATTTAAAAGGAAGTTTTTTGTTTGGGGTTTTTTGTTTTGTTTTGTTTTCTGATTGAAGTATAGTTGATTTATAACTTGGTAACACATTCTGTTTCAAAGCACCAGGGAGGAGAGAGGACCCCCAGAGTATATAGGGAATGAATGAAAAATACCTACACAAAAGCACATCACTGAGAAGCCTCAGAAAGAGACTTAAAAAAAGATCCTAAAGGCTTTCAGAGAAGGAAAACAACACACACATGAAGACTTGGGAGTCAAGATGGCAAAGTAAAAGGAGTCATGTTTTTTAAATGCTGAGGAAAAACTTGCACTTCTTATCTAGATGGATTCAAAGGGAACAGATTTATCCTCCTGCCTGAACCAAAATATGACAAGTTACATAAAACAATGGTTTTCAAGATACTGGGTATCAGGCAATGAAGGACACCAATTCCTGAGAGATGGGAAGCAGAGAGGTGAGCCCTGGGATTCTCCAAAAACACTCCTAGAATTGCTTTATCCAAGCAAAGAATTTTTCAATCTTGTGGACAGAAGTTCAGGGTCTTCCTTGTACGCTGTGATGCAGATTTCCACTTTTTAGTGCATTTCCATTTTTCAGCCCAAACTGCCAAATCTATCCCAATCAATCCCCCACACTCACTTGTTTTTTCCATCCTGATTATGTCTTAGTTTGGGAATTCTGATTTCTCCACTCCCCTTAACTCCTCCCCTTCCCCAAACAGACCCGACAATGACAGATGCACAACGGAAGCCAAGGGCCTGGACCTGGATCTGGATGCAGAGCTGACACCTGCTCTCTTGACATCAAAAGGGTGAGAGGGCAGGGAAGGGGAGCCACAGAGGCTGAAAGGATGCTCGCTCACCGGGCGCCAGGTGATCTGGAGCATGGCAGGTGTCTCTGCTTCACACACTGCCCTCCAGGTCCTGAGATGTGACACTGAAAGGAAAATACAGAGGCACGGGTAAGGGTGATGCTGCCTCGCACCCTGCAGATACCTTCTGTCCGCCTCGGCCCCTTTCCATTCCGCTACCGCCTCACCACAAAGGCAAAGGGTTTGGAGAACCCGGCACTACACCCGGGGAAAGCGAATCTGTTACCCGGACACTGGCACCCGCATCCCAGGAAGCCACTAACCCCGCGCAGTGCAAGCAAAGAGAAAGCATGGGACTGCAGCCAGCCTCTGGGAAAGCTTCCAACAGGTTCAGTGGCAAGTGCGGTAACCGTCTCCCCTCCTCTCTAGGAACATGGGAAGTTTCCCAACTCTGTGTTTCCCTATCGCAGCCGCAGCCGTCCTGTCCCTACTTTGGGAGACGGCAAAGGACAGAGCTGCTGGCCGGAGGCTCGGGTCCCACAGCGCCCCCATTCGGTAACTCCTCCGGGGGATGTAGGCCGGCTGGCTCAAACGACAGAATGGTTTCAATCCTGGGAATTACCCACGGTTCTCTGGCTTTCACTACTTCTGGTTGCCCTTCCAGGTACTGAGGGGACCATTGCTCCACATGTGCCCAAGAGGCCTGGGTTCTGTGGCTACACCAATGTGGGAGGATTGGAAATTGGAAGAGTGGAGCCCATCATACAACTGCCAGATGTGTATGGGTTGAGAGCATAGAGCACCTGGTCCAAAAACCTGGCCGCTGTACCACTTACTATCTGTGGGACCAGCAGCAAGTTGCCTTGCCTGTTTCACTGTTAAATGGGTATGATGGTGGTACCAACCACAAAGGGCTGTTGAAGGATAATAATTAAATGAATTCATGGATTGGCGAAGTGTTTACAGTAGTGCCTGGCACGTAATAAGTGCTTACAAGTTTGTGTTGTTTTTAGAGCTACAAGTGCTGCTTGGGCTCCAATGTGTGGCACAGTGTAGGGAAACAGCT